ATACATACATACATTATTCGGGATTAGCTATATGTGTTATATATAACCCCTGTTTAAGAATATAAAATAATAAAATCAATCTCTATCGTTTGTTCTTTCATAGATCAATATAGGATCTGTGGTCCATTCATTCATTCATACATTTTGATTTATTGTCTTTTAAGCAATACGTGGATATAGCTTTTGCAAAGCAGCCCAGGAGGCTTTCGCTGTTTTGATTTCAAATGCTCTGCGTGTGGCTGCCATCAATTCAGTCGGTGACTTCTTACTTTTCCTCGGAAAAAGCGCCGTTGCAGCTTCTGTGGTTGTCATCGGATTGGAGTTCTTGAAGGTAAGCTCGAAGTGTGTATGTCTCAACGCATAATTTTCGTGATATCCACGCTTCTATCCATCTACACATCCATCCGTGACTTTGTTCTTCTCTCCGTCCTGCTGTTCATTCGTTCGTTTGTTCGTGGTTTTGTCTGTTTCTCCGCCGCCCTTCTTTTATTAGTTTATTCTTCACTCGTTCCTTCATTAATGCATTTGCTGCTTTCGTTCGTTTAAATTGTTTGGCGTTTTTCATTTCTTTATGAATTTTTTTTATTCCATTCGGTTATTCATTCGTGTGTTACTTTGTTCTTCCGTCCATCCGTTCATTCATTCATTCACTAGTTCGATCTTTCACTCGTTCATTTATTCGTCCGTTCGTTCGTTCATTGATTTATAACTTTATTTGTTTAACATTTGAAAGTTATTTTTCGCCATTTCTTCGTTTGTTTATTCGTTTTGTTCGTTTATTTATTCGGTTGATTGTTAAGCATAACATTGATGATTGACAACACCTTTTTGTCTTTTTTAGGATGATCCAGATATCAATTACTATGCTGTGCCAATTGCCCTTGCTGCCATATTTGCCTTCCTTATTAGCCACATTTTCATGACAGTTTATGAGGTAAGGACTAAATATGCATTTACATCGGATCCGAAGCGAAAATCGAGTAGCGTTTCCGAAGGGAAACGTTTTCGACGAGTTGGGTGGGGGGTGGGGGTGGTGCGTTGTTTTTGACGTAGGCGTAAGTACAGGAATTGCTTGGAACTTATTTAATCAATTATTAATCGATTTAACATTCTGTAAAAATTATATAGGCCTATAATGTTTCCTGCCGACGAAATGTGTTTCGGGTGACCAGCTCTTTTCGACAGGATGGTCTGTTCTCGGCACCACTGGCGCCAGCCCTACAAACAGCGCGTTTGAATTGCTCTATGAGTCTCGTGTACACCTTAAACACAGCAAAGGAGATAAAGTGATAATTCTGTTGAAATAATGGTGATGACGATGACGAGGACGATGACAATGATGATACGGATGGTGCTTATACGATATGGAGTTTTATTTGACTTCGTATTGGATGTAACAGTATTAAACCTGTACAGGAGTATTCGTATATATTGTTTGATACGTATTTTACTTACTCTTCTAGATGGCGATCGATACCTTGTTTTTGTGTTTTTGTGAAGATTGTAAAGCTAACGACGGAATTCAAAAACCATATTTTATGAGCAAAGATCTTATGGTACGTTGAAATATTTCAAAATTTGCTTAAGAAAAAGGTTGTTTTTGAAGGGTATATACAAATTTGTTATTATCATTGTTATTTTTATTATTGATATTATTATCAATTTAATTATAATAATGTTAATGATAATAGTAATAATATTAAATTATTATTATTATTAATAATTATTTTTGTCATCATCCTCATCATCATGCTAAACATAATCATCTTAACTTGCAAATGTTAAAATGATTTTTGAAATTGATACTTCTATTGGTTTATTATTTAATTTTACAATCTTTTCTTTTCAGAAATTTGTTGAAAATGCTGCAAAGGCACAGGCTGCCTTGGAGAAGCGTGAACGTGCGGTGATGACGTAATTACTACGTGATTATGTTGTGTACACTTTTTTACACCAAGACTTTTCAAAACTAATTCAATGACGTTATATATTTAATTGCCGTTTAAATTTTTGATTTTACATTTGACTTTTGGGTACCTTTAATCAAATATGCTGACAGTGTAAATAATGCAAACAGACAAGCTGACACTGTAAATATAATAATGTCAGCGTCACTTCTTTGAAAATCATGAAAGAATAAAAATTAAGAGAGAGGTACAATAGACCATTTAACGTATGTTTGTCCTGTCGTGAGCGATACTTGGATGGGGTATGGGGGAGGGAATCCGACATAAAGCTGCCATACATTTGCGTAACAGCTATAGTAAGCTCTCTCTGACTATAGCCCAGGGTATTCATCAGCATTTTTTTATTTTGCTCTCTAACTCGGCAGAGATGTGGGCAAAAAAAAAACCCAAAACACTAAAATATGTAACGTGTCCGCCCTTAAAACGTCAAACAAATATTATAGGAACAGCTTGAACGTATCTTTGAGTTGAAAGAATGATTTTTTTTTTATATGTTTACACTTCGTTATACTTTGTAAGTATACCATATATCAACAAGTATATGCAATGTTAACATCTGAACAGAAATGTTAGAGATCGGCACTTCGATGTCAAAAATAAGAGTATTTTTTTTGTCTACCCTGCATGGCGCTACACCTAGGCTATACTGGTACGCCAGTGGAAAACAATGGACAGGCGACAATAACAATGCAGCGACCTGTATGCTCGCATACCTTCTTAGAACTGGCAAATACCATTGGGCTAAGAATCACCGTAAGCCAAAATTTATTTCAGCTCCGTTCGCTTATAACAGTAATCACACGGTATGTTTTAGATTGGAATTGCAGATCGCGGGGACACTTAAATCCTGGTCCTAGGCCCGGGATTTATCAATCTCAGCTTAGCAAATTTCTTAAGTCAAAAAAGTTAAGATGTCCCTAATAATTATCTTAAGCTGATTTATTAAACCATCTTATCAAAATCTTGGCTTAAAAATTGTCTTAGATGGCGCTTCCGTACAATTGACTTCCTAATTTTAAGCAATGTTTAAGCTAAGTAATATTGATAAATTTAACTTAAGCAAAAAAATGGACTTAAGACGAATTCAAGCTGATTTTTAGTTTGATAAATCTGGGCCCAGGTGCTCCCCAAATGCAACTGAAAATGATAGAAACATCGAGAATCAAAATCAAAATAATCTGAACACAGCCATATTTAACTCACGTAGTATTGTAAACATAATCAACGAGCTTTCAGGTACGAATAGAAAATTAGATTGATATGTACTGCTTACGGAAACTTGGTTAGACCCACCAATAGTTAGTTATGAATTTTTTTCATCTGACTTCTGTGTTTATCGGAAAGATGAACCAGGCATGGTGGTGGATTATTAATTGCTTGCAAGAACACTATCAAGATGTTACCTGTATCTATCGATACCGATATAGAAATTCAACTTTTTGAGCTTGTTTACCTGGGGGAAAGATTCTGCTTGTTTGTGTCTACATGATACCTCCAAGTGCAAAGACGGAATGGCTGACTCAGTTTCAAAATATCGCTGATTATATACCTTTGAACATACACAAGTACACTGCTGTTATCCTCACTTGGAATTTAAATTATGATTTTACCTCAAACTGTTACAATAAGGAGTTTGAAAACATACTATCATTTCTCAATATGGTACAATATGTTAATTTTCCTACAAGATACTCAAATAATAGTTCCAGCACTATTATGATCTTGTAATAATAATAATGATATAATAATAATAATAATAATAATAATAATAATAATAATAATAATAATAATGTTAATAATAATAATATCATGTGTAACATCACGAGGGAACCAGGGTTAAATACAAGTGATCATATATGTATTTACTATGATATTGTTAATATGGCTGGTGTATTCTAAACCGGTTAACAGGCAGTTTTCGCCGTACGACGGTATCCATGACTTCATAATTTATTCATCTTGCGTTGCGGAGTACGTTAATTTCAGGATTTTACGTGCTCGATACGTTAGTTACGGGTTTGCGCATGCGGAGCTATCGCGTCGAATGTTGGTTACTAACATTAAAGTTAAGGTTAACGTCGTGCAGCGAAAACTACCTAATATATATTATTACATATAAAAAAATGTTGATCGTAACCATCTCTTTAGAACACTCAAGTTAGTGCCATTGGACATGTGCATTTCATAGCCTGACTTTGATTGCTCTCAGGCATGTTTTAAAGATCTATTTTTAGCAGCACCGGTATCAATGACTGTGTTCCTAAGATCGAGGAATGTTTCCATTTGTATTAAATCTGAAATCATAAAAATGTCTCGGAAAAAGAGACATTTTGTATTGGGATGCAAAACATCCACAAAATGTATTAAAGTGGGAAAGTATAAACAATTTAACAACACTTTACGGGAAACTACTCGAAAGACTCATTTCGATTACATGCACTGTATGGGCACCACACTAAAAACAACTTTAAAATAAACCATTTCCGTCTTAGAATTACTAAATTTTGTGTTAGGGAGATTTTTAACGACTTGAACAACTTAATTTAGCAACTATTCTTAAGTGTATTATGGATAAATTGATATTAATGTACATAATCTTATTGATTTTAAATCCAGATATTTCGAAACGTAATTTTAAAACACAAATTTGCAAGAACCAATTACTCATTTAAATATTCATTGTTTATAAATTTTCCTCGTCTTTGGGAATCTCTACCTATAAGAGGACAATCAATGTACAGTTTTAAAATTTTGTCGTTGGCTCTTCGTTCCTATATTCAGCAGCTTTAATGTATAATGTTATTTTATTTTGTTGGCGATTTTAAAATATCTAATTGTATTTGTTTATTACTGTATTTTATGATAAAATTTTAGCATTTCATTTTTATATCGAATTTTGAGATTATTTTAATGTTTAGTAGCCTATACGTAAGGATGCAATATGAGAGCCGCTCTGATTGTGCTTATACACTTATGGTAATCCTCAGGGTACTGCATTCTCATTGTTATGTTTTTGTTGTATTGTCCCCTGGAAATAAAATAAAATATATAAAACAAATAAAATAAAATCGCTGAAGCGAGGGCTTGCCCCGTGCCTGGACCTATGGAGCTCTTTATTTAAACCCAGCGCCTACGAATACAGAGGCCCCAGGCTACTCCCAGCTTCTTTGCCAATGATACAATATATAACTTTGAAACAAATTATTACTAATTTTTAAATTTGAACATGGCTAGAATAAAAGCATAGGCCTAATTAACTTTCACTATTTTTTAAAAATCTATTTTATTTGGTTTTTAATTTCAAACATATTTATACATGATACAATTTAACTGATTATCTTAAAATTCGAAAATCAGTTTGCAATTAATACAAAATACACTTTGTTCAATCAATTTAAATACACAAGATTGCAAAAGAGAATGAATAAGGACTAAATCGAATATCAATCCTAACCTTTTAATTGAACCTTAAAAAAAAACTACTCATCCGGTCTGATTCTCTGACTGACCTTTGCACTGCTGTCTGCCATATAACTGTACAGATAAACTTGTTCATTTCTTTTTTTGACCTCAAGCGTGTCGCCTTGTGTTGTGCTGTGTTTAGGGGAATTTAATTTTCCATTTTGTTTTTAAAACGTATTTTATTAACCAGTTTTAATTTTGTTTTGTACAGTATTATAGGCCTATAAGGCCTCGAATTGTAACGTGTATGTCTAGTGTTTGCAATAAACTGAATACAGTTACAAAAATGTACTTGCATTTGTATTTCGATTTAAACCATGATTCACAGAGTGACGAACGTGTTGACATTTTTTAACAATTTTCAGTTTTCGAAATATATACACATTAAAATAAAACTTATTCCGGATGATATTGTCCGAAGACTACAGACGACTTTTAATAATTGTTGAGAGGTGTTGTGGAGGGCCTGCTGTGGGGGCGGGTTACGTGGATATTTTGTCTTATTAGCTTCAGTTACTTTGGCTGTGACCAAGAATGACTTGACTATGTAGGAATGGCCGTGACCAGAGAAAGGAGGCTATTCCTATGTAGGAGAATGGATGTAAGATATAGAGGTGGATGTATGTGAAATGTACAGTAGGAATGGGTGTGACTTGATAGAGGTGGCTGTGTGACCCCGTAGAATGACTGACCAGATGGTGACTAGAGGTGACTGACCTTGTAGGAAAGAATATGTGACCAGATAGAGGTGGCTGTAGAGGTGGCTGTAGGGCCTATGTATAAAGGAATGGCTAGTGTGACCAGATGGAGATGGCTGTGGCCATCGGAACGGCTGTGACCCGGATGGAGATGGCTGAGATCATGTATAAATGGGTTCCGGTCCGTTGCCACCCTGGCCCGTTGCCACCCGGCCTTTTGCCATCCGGCCGTTGCCACCCGACCCGTTGCCACCGGGCCTTTTGCCACCCTAGGCCCGTTGCCACCCGGCCTTTAGCCACCCGGCATTTAGCCACCCGGCCTTTTGCCACCCTAGTTCCGTTGCCACCCACGCCTTTTGCCACCCGGCCTTTTGCCACCCGGCATTTTTCCACCCAGCCCGTTGCCACCCGGCCCGTTGCCACGTACCTAGGCCCGTTACCACCCAGGCCCGTTGCCACCCAGCCTTTTGCTACCTTTGGGAATGTCGAATATTTATATTATTTTGGTGGGTTTTTTACACAGATTTGTACTAGTAGGCCTACTGTAGCAGAATGTTTTCTTGATTAAATTTACTTTCCAGTTAATATTTAATTATTAGTTTACTGTATTTTATTTCAAACAATCGTCCATGCGCCTTCTTACCACCAGGAGATAATTGCAGAAATAAACATTGTTATAAATCCGCATAAAGAGAGAAATCATGCAATGTCTAGTTTATTTTTATATTTTATTTTAAAGTATATTCTTATTCTAAAATACAATTACAATTAAAATAACAACACATTTATGATAATAATAGTTATTTATATAGTATAACCACAAGCCTATATTATGTGTGTATAATGAACTTTATTGAATGTATTTGGTATTTCTCTCTTTATGCGGACAATTTATAACAAGCATATATATTTTTTCATGAAAAATAACCGTCATTGATAAACTTTAAATGAAGCTCTTCTCGTTAGCGGTAAACTACAAAGGATATTGCGCTCAGTAACATTAACGATCTGAGCAAACTAATCCTCCTGATTGTTTATACCGTGACTAGGGCTATGGTTCAGATTATAGGATCTTCAAGCCTAATTTGCGTGGCCTTCAATTGGTCAGCTGGACATTTCCCCCACCCATGTTTTTTTTTTTCTATTGGTATACCAGAGCTATATTTTATCATACATTTGGCTTAATATCTTAAAAACAACAAATTGTGGGAGGTATATTATGTATGGGCATAGGCCCATTTCTTATAGCGGAGCAGCATTACCATATTCAACATGTTTAATAGCTTTTCATTGCTATTTTCATCATTTTCACTATATTTATGTTCATTATTATTTCCACACTCAAAGGCAAGTCAATTTAATAAAAAAAAATCTGTTCAATTTATAACACTACAAGAATTTTAATTCATGATTTTCTGCCTTCAAAAAAAAAAATGTAAAAAAACACACGTCTGAATACATAAAAATAAAGATAGAACGCTAATCAGGAACTTAATAAATAATAATTCTGGATTTATATAGCGCCTCCAGTTGACACAGCGCTTGAACATTATTACCCGGATCACTGGATCAAGCACATATGGTACACACACTCAAGCCCCATAGGGGAATTCCATAATGTTGCAGCTGTATTCAGCGCAGGCTGTGTTTGAACCTACCAGGTACCCACTTGTACTCCTGGGTGGAGAGAGACAACCGTAGATAAAGTGCCTTGCCCAAGGACACAAGCGACTTGCACAGCGGGAGTTTTGAACCCCAAAAACCCAACCGATGCGCCAACCACTTCTACGTGTGCCTTTCATGATGGTTAACCGTAACGAATTGTCTCTAATAATAATAACTTTATTATTTCTTTTTTGTAACAGAGGCACAATCGCTAAAGAGATGTGCAACAATAATTAACAATATAAGAGTAATAATAACATATGTACATTTGTCTTGCTATAGACGAAAATAAATTATAATACTCATCCCAAGAAATGAAATACACGCCACCGAGCTCGACACTGTTCACGCCATTGCCAGGATTTCCAGACGATGCGTGACCAATGCCGAAACTCGACGGTGCGCATTCCATCTCCCGGAGAATGCATTACACTTTATCTGAATAAACTGATAAGAAACATAAATGAAAGAATAGGAGGAAGAAAAACAAAAAACAAAACAAAACAAAAAACGATAATACCGTTGTTTACAATCTTCCAAACAATCAATCCATTCGTCATTCAGTACACACAGTTTGGCAAAAATTAATGCCGAGAGTAAAATTTCTGCTAATACAATGCATAGGCATACAACTATGGGTGGCAACGGGCCGAGTGGCAAAAGGCCTATGGTGGCAACGGGCCGGATGGCAATAGGCCGGGTGGCAACGGGCCTAGTTGGCAAAAGGCCGGGTGGCAAAATACCGGGTGGCAACGTGCCTAGGGTGGCAAAAGGCCGGGTGGCAACGGGCCTAAGGTGGCAAAAGGCTGGGTGTCAACGGGCCGGGTGGCAACGGGCCGGTTGGCAAAAAGCCGGGTGGCAAAAGGCCGGGTGGCAACAGGCCAGGTGGCAACTGGCCTAGGTGACCATGTAGGAACGAATGTGTGACTAGATAGAAGTGGCTGTGACGATAATGTAGGTACTGTAGCTGTGACCACAAAAAGGTGGTGACCGTATAGTAATGAATTCGTTACTAGATAGAGAAGGTTTTGACCGTATATGAATGAATTTCTGACCAGTACAGAGGTTTCTCTGATCCAATGAAGGAGCCTCTGGGTGGGGGGGGGGAATTTGCCCTCCCATAGGACAGGCTGGACCCCTGTCATCGGATAAAAAAATTATAACTTGCCTATCCAGTTAACGTAATTTTTTATTGTCATTTCCAAATATTGTGGTCTAAAAGCATAATTTGGACCGTACTAAGCCTGTTTACAGGGAGTTTAAAAAAATTCTGAACGAGGCTCTCGTCGGCCCTTGGCTCGGACCCCTCCATCGGACATGTCGGATCCCGTGTCGGCAAATTTCTGGAGCCACCGCTGCTGCGACCATGTATGAACAGCTGTGACCAGATAGAGATGACTGACCAAAAAGGAATGAATATGTGACCAGATGTAGGAGTTGGTTTGATGATAGGAATGGCTGTGACCATTAGAGATGGCTGGGACCAAGAATGATTTTTTTTAACCAGATCATGTGTAGTGCCTGTTCTTTTCAGCTTAATATCTGAAATGCTGCTCATTGATGTGTAGCTTCAAATATCAAACTGATTTTTTATTTTAGATAGATGTGGTTTGGCAGTGTAGAATTGGTTTTAACCTTACAAATATTGATAAAATATTAATTGAATGAACGTTGCTTAGTAAATCATATTTAACAACTACAGTAGAACCTTTATTAATGGGACACCTTCGGAACCCAAAGAAGTGTCTCCTGAATTAGCAATGTTGGGCGGCCGGATCAAAATCTTTAGCGGGCCTGAGTTATATGTTATACCGGTAACTAATATTGAAATTAGATTGGAATATTTATATAGGAAAATCGTTATACTAGACAATAACGTTTTTATGTTATCTCAAATTAATTTCAAATTAATTCTCAAGACATCATAAGTAGTTCATGCAGAAAATGATTGATAAATTAAATCTTGATTAAACTTTCTAACTTACTAAAACTCTTCAAGATTGACTTGTCTGAACTGGTTTTTAATATTCCAATGAAGTGCGTCTTAATCGATTTGATTCATTTCAATAAAAACAGTGTATTTACTCGAATGTCAGTAAAAATTTAATCAGAGAGGACGACAGAACTGTTATTAAAGTCAATATGAAATGAATATAAATAAGGCGCGCTTGCAACGTTTAACACTTTGTGCGAGTTGCCAAGTCATACTGATAGTTAATTATCTTTCATACAAATGAAATAATTAGCAGTTAAACGAATGTTTCACAAGTGTTCATAATTGCAATTTGCCAACACGACAATTAGCATTACTTAATAAACACTTGCTCAATCTTTAGCAATGAACACTCGGATCGGTGTGGAACCTGAGACAGATTTGGATGGACATGGAATGACGGGTAATGTTGGTTTACCTACTTACGAAGCTGAACAAACCTGGAATTATGATCAATTTATCACAGCTCCTAACACCAAGACTAACACGCCTGGACCAGACGATAAGAAAAACATGGGTCTAAGCAAGAAAACTGTAAAGGACGAAGATGCAACTATTCGAGGGGGTTGCTGCGGAAAGAACTTCGACGTATTCAGTGGCGAAACATCTTTTCATGGACTTAAACACATCAGTGGTGAAAACAACAACAGTCGAAGGTGAATTAAGAACAACAGTTTATCAATAATTTACTGTTTATGCGATGTAAACAAATTTGTTTACTTCATTCATCATTTTATTATTATTATTATTACAATTAATGTTATTGTTATTAGCATTGTTATTATTATTATTATCATAAAGATTCTAAAATTCTTGAAATATTTATAATCTTAAAACGATTCCCAATTCTGAAGATGTCACTTGTAATTGTCATAATCCATCAGACAACATCAGTATACATAACATCCAATTAGAGTTCATATAATATATAATTTTTTATATTATTAGTTATATTTTCAATTAATAATTGAATAATTGATTTTCTTGTTGTTAACATTGATATAGCTTTGTTAAATATTGTTAGTAACAATGATACATTTTATTCTTTTTTTAGAATAGCTTGGATAATTATACTCGTCTTGGCATTTTGCTGCCTTAGTTACCAAATAAATCTGTCAGTGTTAAAATTCTTTGAGTATCCGACAAATACCAAACTAAATTATGTCACTAAACGTGAAATATCATTTCCTAAAGTCACAGTGTGTAACATCAATATGTTCAGGTAAGTTATAATATTTTAATTCGGAATTACTTAAATTTATGGTATTAGAGGGTTGTTCTCTCACCATAATTATTCCAACTGAAGGTATGCGAGAAGCCACTGAATTACGATTTTAATATTATACCTACATACATTTATAGATTTCATTAAAAAAAATCCAGTCCTCCAACTCCTCCAAACCACTTTTCTAAAGACCCAAATAACAACCTTCAGGCCGAACACCAATACCACCCAAATTTTGAAGTCTCAAATATGTTCTTGAATTGGAGGGAAAACTGTATTAAGATAATGTAGATAGTGGATAAACTTCTAAACGATATTGGGACCAATGAATGTGACCGGTCATAGAGGCTAAAAACAAATAAAAAATCCCACTCCTCTCTCATTCATACTGTGGGGAGTATTTTCCAAAATTACAAGTAGTAATAATAATAATAATCAATATTTGTAGCGCATAATGTTAATAACCTCTAGGTGCTTAACAACAAAATAAAGCAGCGATGCAGGAGATGGTGACATTCAAGTGGTCTTACCCACCGATGTCAAAGTAACGTCAAAGTAGACAGGTTTTCAATAGTATGATATTTTTTAAATATTAAAATTGAACAATACAGTACAATAGCATACGCAATTCCCAACATTTGTACTGGTATTTCTACAATTAAACGTTTTTTATATTGCAACCCATACACATTAAATATTATTCGCACACAAAAAATATTTCAGGAAGCTATACTAATACTTGTAGAAAAGAAGAAACAAAACCCAGATCATACGATTGGGGTTATCTGGTCTTGTGAATGGTTCCAACGAGATGCAGAACAAATTTAACAAGATAATCCGAGATTACAAACCCTCGACTTGTTGCACCATGTAGCGATTTGCTCGATCAGCAGGTTGTTTATTATAGGAGTGTAATATTAACAGTCATACATACTTATCAGGCGAAGTGTAGCCGAGCGGTTAGGGTGCACGTATTATGCGTAAAGTTGATCGTGTGTATGGGGGTTTGTTATCATTATTATTTATTAACTTATTATTTGTGCATCTATAGAATAATTTTTTTCATATATATTATTATTTTTTTTGCATAAAATTGGGACAGCAGAGTGTGACATATGCCTATACGGCCAGAAAGTTTTGAAACACATAAAATCTTCATCTTACTTCCCCACTTCATTAGCCAAAAGAGTCCTATCATCATAGGCCTCAGATGACGAGCTCATCAATCGGTGTTTCATGCCGTCTAGACTGCTTCCAGCATGGCTGATCCACTCGAGTCGGTAACGTGGTCCGTCCTGCGATTTTTTTTCGTACGAAACATTTGCATGAAACTCCACTCGGGCAGTCTCGATTGACTCCACTCGAAAAGCTCATGATGCACAATTCAGGAGGTCATAACGTCATCAACCAAAGATAAACGTCTACAGAATCTATGAGATGATGTCGCTGTCTGATTTTAAAACATATCACATTAATGTTACCATGTTAATACCTAATGGGCCGTTTAGAATGACAAATGTAATATTTGATTGAGCTGCACGAGTAGTAAAAGTTATTTGATCTTTAGTTACATAGTGTGAGCATTTTTTTAGTTAGGCCTAGTAGTTTTTTTATTTATAGGAAATGTATATTAATGTTAACAATTTCATTGTCTTTTTTTTTGTGAGTATTTTTGGACACAATGTTTTGGGAGACAAAATTAGATCGCAATTTAGTTCACTTTCTGGTATCACTCTCTCACTTTTGTTCGCCTTCCAACCATCTTTCTTGTGCTTATATTTTTGCTTATGTAAGAGATAAACGAAATCGAAAATCCAATCAACTCCAAAAAGTACAAATGGAAAATGATGAAGTTAATACATTGCATTTTTTTTTATGTAGAACTTAACAAAATCAGATCTGATAAATATAGAATTAATGACTCGGTATTACAATTAATATAGGTGGCAGGGGTGGCACCAGCGGCGGGGGGATTGGGTCGGGCCCGCCGTCGGGGAGAGCTTGCCCCGCCATCGGGGAGGAAAAGAACAATTCGTCGGGGAGAAAAAAAAATTATATGTATTTTTTACATATTAGTAGACTCTAAAATCGATTAAATACGCCTTTGAAACCCCTAAATTGTCAAAATTTTCCAAGACCACTTTCGGAACCTTTTAATCGAAGCTCGATATAAAATATATTTATTTATTTTTATAGGCCCTATATTTATTCGAACAGACACCTTGGGAACGGTGGCACTCAATAAAAATTGATGCGTTCACAAAAGCAAATCAAACAGAATACAATACAATACCAAAAAGGTTACCAGAATTAAAATAAATAAACATCTGCATTACGTACAGTATGAAGGCCTACCAAAAATAATATATTTATTTAAAACAAAGATAAATCAATAGGGGAATTAAATAATGGAATTTAATATTCCATTACGTAGTTTCCATGCTCTTTTAACATACCTTTTGCAGAACCTATGAAAATTAACTTCACTTTCTCTGTTAAGGAATAAGAATGCACAACCCAAAATATATTGAAGTGTAATATTTTTGTTCGCATTAAAAAAAAATCATTATATAGCTCTTGGTTGTTATGTAGACCTAATTCAACTTTTAAGTTGTGATTCATTAATGCGTATGTTATTTAGGGCTGGGCGGCAACTAAAAATTAAATGATGGGTATTTTTATCAACATTTAGGTTACAAATGCCACATTTCTTCTTATTATTTATATTTGACTATTACTATTTGACCTGTCTCTTATACACATCTAGATGAAAATATTTGTATGATTCTGCTCCTGTGGTAAAGCCGTCACCTGATGTCCATTTCTTTTCTTTATCAGTACGTTTGCCAGTGATCTACAATTTTCAAAATTGAAACTCAGTTTCCATTCTTTCGCAAATGTAGGCCTATTTGCAAGTTCTAACATCCTTTTCATTTCATTTTCATTGTTAGCTAACAACACAATATCATCAGCCCAAAAGAGACTGCCAACCCATGTATCATTGAACTTATTCGACTGGTTTATTTCGTTGAGTACGAATTTTCATTGAGTATTATTTTCATTCGACTGGTTCGTAAAATAGACTTTCGTTGACAACGAAAATTGACGTAACCAGAATGCGTTAATCAGCGTTAAGTTATGCACGTGACCAAACAAATATGGCCGATTAGTCAGTTTAGCAACAACATTTGCGTTAATATAATTTAGATTAAATTTCAGAAAATAAAAATTATAATATTTACCCACATTGAAGTCAAAAAATAATTGTAGGCTAACAGAATTCAAAAACTGAATGAAAACTTTTTTTTTAACGAAAACCCATACTGCCACAATCTGAAGCAGCCTTACGCAGCGTGTATCGCGGTAACTATGCAACCATTTTGTTTTCTCGAGTATTTACCAGTTTTCTATTCGACTGGTTGTCTTCGTTAAGTAGGATTTTACCACTGTGCAGGTGGGCGTGGTTTAACGAAGAACGACCAGTCGAATATGGCCATTAATTCTTGTACCCATATCATTCAATTTTAGAATTTTAGTGAATAACAATGACTCACACCGCTGGCGGCATGTTATTGTATGTTGCAATTTACTGTACCTTTAGCAAACGAAGATAAGATACGGTATCGTATCAATAGCCACGGCAAAAAATTATTCATAAATAGGCAGAGAGTTTATTAGGTATGTACTAGAGAATGTGATCACTTACTACTCAAAACAGTTTTAGAAGGCCACTTTCAGGGGAAATAAAAGCATATCTTGATCAAATGAAACAGGGTGACAGTAATTTCCAAATTAATAGAAAATCAGCTCAAAAGAATAAACAGCTCAAAAATTCTGGATGCCATAAGGACCTAACAAAATGGCAGGGCACCAATGAATGAAAGAGGCGTAGTTACTAATTTTTATACACCTAGTATATAGTATTGTATTGTATCTTCTAGAGTACAAGGCTTAGGCCGTTACGGTAATTAATGCCGAAATTATTTATTATTGTTATTGTTATTATTATTATTATTATTATTATTATTATTATTATTATGGGTGTTCATTTTGATCGAGTTGATTTGTTTTCTTTTCTTCACTTTAATTTTACTTTTTCAAATACATGTATATATAGTAGTGCCTGTATTGGTACAAATACGGTTCACCTCAAAAATTAATATGTTTATTTATTTATTTATTAATTATTATTATTATTATTATTATTATTATTATTATTATTATTATTATTATTATCATCATTATTATTGCTATTGTTATTATTATTATTTTTTTTATTGTTTCAAAACCTAGGGGCCTAGGTAGGACCTAACTCAACCTGTAGTTAGACCTTCTAAGCCTTTGATAATATCCCTACTACTGGTTTTATAGAAGGGAGTACTAGCTATTGTTCTTGTTGTAGAATGACTAGCATTTAATAACATACAAGAAGCTCACATTTGTTACATACGTACATCCCATAAATCGGTAAGATTTTATAGGCCTACCGTAGGTAAACATTATAGAATGAACAATAATAGTAATACTCGAGCATCACGACATTGCGAAGTGCCTGTTCTTGTTTCTAACCATATTTTAACTAGTATCGAACTCGAGTTGAGTCAATCCTAGTTGAGTTTCATGCCAAAAGTTTCGTACGGGGAAAAAAAATCGCGCCTAGCCTAGCCAAACGACTCTGTCCAACGATCCGCTCGCTCTGTTAGATGCGACCGAAAAATATTCAAATAAGATTCTAAAATGTACATTTTTACTTCTGATCATCCCAAAACAAAATTCGAGGAGGCCCGAGATACATGCAATATTGTCAATGTGTGAAACTTACGTATTACTGTAATTAATTGTTAAAACAGATTATTATCTCCAAGGCTTTCCATTTTTCTGATGATCCTATTGTGTGTAATGTATATTGTATTGCTGGAGTAAAACACAAATAGTATTAGAAATTACAATGATGAATCCTCGTTGCTCTTTTCGCTCAGAATTGACCAAGTGACAGCAGAAATTGGCGGATTTACTAAATTCTATGAAGGCGGTCTAAATTATCTTCGAAGCTTGGCGCCTGAAATCGGTATTATATCTTCGAATCGTACAGGTAATGGAAATGGTGGATGCGTTAAGTTGACGAACACAACGTATCTTGGTGGTACAAATCTGCAAGAATTCATAAGTCACAGCGGTCATAAGATAAAAGACATGCTTGAAGTGTAAGAAAGTCAATAAGTTATCTATTTCGTATTTTTAAGGGGTTGGGTTGGGGTTAGGTTTAGGTTTATCAGTCTCTCATAGTTAAATACACATCATTATTTCGACCTTTAACCCATCTTCTTAGTTTTTTTTTTAAAACTGATTGACATTACAGTTGTATAATTTGTATCATTACTGTCTTACTGTATAAATGGCATGTTATAATTATTGCGTTTTGTAACGTCTCATATTAAAATCAATTTTAATGGTTTTACTTTAATATTGAATTGTAAATTTGTATCAATTTTAATTGACTACGGTATATCATATTGTAATGCGACATTTGAGCATATTTTTATGGGATTTGCGCAATAAGTGAATAAATTATTATTATTATTATTATTATTATTATTATTATTATTATTATTATTTAATTATTTTTCAAAGCCACGGGTCATAAGAGGTCGATTTTGTCACAAAGATTACAACAAACACCACATTCGAACTTTACTAAGAGGGAGATTTGCAACATTAAGAAAACGAGAACGAATACGAATACGTCATTATCATTAATACTTGAAACATTCTTAACAATATACAAGCTTAATGTGATCCTTGATTAATGCAAAAGGCAAGAATCGCCTGACAGATATGTAGGGGAAGGATGCTCAAAACTGTGACGACGTAACCGTATTCGTTATCGTTTTCGTAAACTTGCCAAAACTCCTTACTGACAACATTAGATCAACATAAAATTATTTGTGTTAACATAGATTTAAAGCATGTTAAAATTTAACACATTTGTGATTAGCCCATATTTCTTGATTACACTAGCGTTCGTCAGCATCCTTTATGAAGTATCTTATGATATACCGGTCAGTGTAGGCCAATTGTGATTGCTATTTTAATATCGATACTCATTAACTTGATCTGAAATTATTAAATAAACTTATCAGGACCAGGAATAATTCTCCTGGACTATTGCTTCTGTACTATATACAACTAAACATTACGATTGATTAAACGTCATGTTAAACCCATCACCAAAACAGTAAAAATCGAATTTCATTATACTCTTCACAAAAACAAAACAAAACAGTCAGGTCGTCGTCAACTTGTAGAATCTAATAAAGATTTGTATTGATAATTCGTCATCATCCATCTGCTGATTATACAGTCCAATGGCCTCATCATTCTTCATTCATTTTTCTGTTAATTGGTTAATATACTTTCTAGAAAAATTTATATCCTCTTATTAACGTTCTTGGTGTCCATATGGCGTTCATGTTAATGATTCGTCTTCTCAACTCTATTCGTGTTTCATCATCGCGCGTTTAATTAAATCTTTTCACTTTTTATTTACCGACTTTCTGGCGCTACTGCTAGTTCCTGCAACTAAATTTGGGTTACTAACTATTTATTGCGTTTAGTGCGCGCCATACCATATTTAATTAGAGTCCCATACTCGATTTCTTGTTGACCGCAAAAAAAGAAAAAAAAAAAAAAGTATTAATTTTGACGGCAATTAAATTTGGTATGACACGCACTAAGCGCAATAAAATAGTAAGCAACCCAAATTTAGGGCTTGGAAACAACCCAAGCTAACTTTTGGTGCAATTCAGTGATCCATCCCGTGCTATCTTACAGGTGCATTTTCAATGGCATCGAATGCGGTCCGGAAAATTTTACACTTACTTACACCAACTATGGAGCATGTTATATCTTTACTCCAACCACAAAATCGTCATTGAACAATGCAGGTAGGTTAGGAACGACAACCAAAACAGATCAGATCTAATTGCTCTTTTTTTACGATAGTGTGGGGATGATAATGACGATCTTGTTGCTGTTGATGATGACGACGATGATGATAAATGATGATGGTAATGTTGACATTGATGGAAATGTGATGACTTTGATGATATAATTAAGATGGTAATGATGACGAAAGTGATGTTTAAAATAATGGTAATTGTAATGATGACAAGGAGGATTATTACGTTGATGATGCTGATGTAGTGATACGGTAACGGTGATGATTCTATTATATTGCGGTAATCATAATGATTATTATGATGATAATGTTGATTCTGAAAGTGTTGATGATGCTGATGACGATGGTGATAGTGATGATGATAAGGGAAACATAATCAAAATCCCAAGTGTTGATTATAGCATTATTTTATTTCATCAGGACAAAAGCATGGGCTTAGCCTGATTCTTAACGTTGAGCATTTGCAGTATGTAACAGCTCCTAGGGAAAACCTTGGTTTCCGAATCGCAATTGATTCTCAGCACGATGCACCTGATTTAGAGGCATCGGGCGTGGATGTCGGGACAGGAATGAGGGCTTCAATTGGACTTCGGAAACACACTGTACGTCTATTTTTTCCACATAAAACGCAATAATCGACAATAAAACGCAATAAACAAAAATGAAACACAAAAGACAACAATGAAACACAATAGACAACAATGAAACGCAATGACAGTTTTACAAATGTAAAACAGTAAGCAACCCAACAAACTGTAATAAAACATAAACAATAAACTAAAGCACTCTAATGCAAAATCTGCAAATTATTATACTGTGTCACCAAACGTCGATGACTTATTGACCTACGACTGTAGGCATCTTAATCATATTGTAGTGGTGCCAAAATGTTATACAATTGTTCACCGAAAGCTGCAGCTCCACTCAAACAATTCTTCCTTCCTCTACAAAGAAACTTTCCGGACTGTTAAACTTAAAAACTGACCAATCACGGCCATGGATGACACCAGCGGAGGGTGGGGGGCCGTCGGGGAGAAAAAGCACAATTCGTCGTTGAGAAAAAAAAATATATGTATTTTCTACATATTAGTAGGCT